AAGTTTTTTATGTATTTCCGAGATTTTAACATTCAATTGCATGAGATTTCGATTGAAAAATACAAGGTTTTAAAATGATCGGTTTTTTGCTTGCAGAGGTTTAGCTCTCGAAAAAGGCCAAAGGCTCTCGAAAAAAAAACAACCGTTCATCTATTACAATATTCAACTATTACAAAAAAACTTCTCTACTAATACGTATTGAAAGAGTTTTCAAAGTTTTAACTGACACAATAAGTAGAAGTCACGTTTGCATAGCCTAATGTTTACTCTTTTCTATAATCTTTGTTATGTAGAATTTGAACTTCAAGTTGAACTCAACCTCAATTGGGAAATGAATTGACAACTCAGGAAAACTGCTTTCTTCTTGAAATCGATGGAAATCTATGAAATTGATGGAAATTTATTTCTCATTTTTTATTAACGTAAAAATTCTACTTTTCTTGTAGTAGCTGTGTCAAAATCTTAATTTTGTGTTTGGTCATCGGTTGAAAATAAAGAATTAGTTTTTTTTAGTATTTTGAAATAAAGTTACAAAAATTGAAATCTCTACATATTTAGATGATCGCTCTTAGTTTTTTTAACGTTAGATAACCGCGCATGAACACTTAAATAACCGCATTCGAAAGCAATAGTGTGTTCATTTAAAAATATTGCTAATCCAAAATTTCGTTTGTTAACCATGTTTTTGATTAGCACAAAGTTTCAGGAAAGTTCAACAAAACAAAATTGAGAAAATATTTCTACGCCCCTGTGATCAGTAGCGTGGAAAATATTTGTTCGCTACTGTGATCAGCTCTCTTATGATATTCACTTACTTCTATGAGGAGGGTAGTATGGAGTTGATACTAGAAATTTTAGTGATTGACCTATTTTTTTGCATGATGGTTACGAGCCAACGTTTTATTTTTAATGTCGATCATATTGTTGAAATGATGTTTTCTCCGCTGAATTATACAGTCATTGCTTATAACAATTTGAAAACCGAACGTGCATTGTTCTGTTCTATCTCCCACCACACGGTTCTTGTTGCTATTGTAAAAGCCCATGTGATGTTATTGATTCTATAAGACAATTTTGAAGCGAATGCAGTGTACTTGACGAAATTGAATGGCTAGTTTTGAGTGATTGCAATTTTCTTGACGTCTACTGGGAATTTTTAACGACGATGCTCTCAGATGAACAGATTCTGATAGACTTTTGGACAGATCTGATAGACAGTTATGGATGCTAATATCAGCAATCACGTCTCAGTTTTTCATATTTAAAAAGTTCGACCCAGCTAAAACATCGTTCATGTCAAGTAACCTGTTGCCGAGACGTACTTTTGATTTTGACAAGGTCAGATCCAATAGATTTCCTTTGTCAAATTATGTCATAAAGCCCTTTTTTTGAAAACTAATAGTACGAGATTGTCCAGGATGCTTTTCATAAAAGCAGCTACTTGAAAGTTAAAAACGGTCCACCACATAAACAAACTTGAAACTGCTCATAGATAGAATAACAACACAGCAAAAACTAACCAAATCGAAAAAGATGTCAAAAATTTGAATGCATTGGATAAGTTTGCCATGCTGAAAAATTCAAAATCCTATGGTACCAATGAAGCATTTGCTTTGCTAAAATCAATGAATTTCTCCAAAACTTACCCTTCAGTTATGTTGTACAAGGTTAAAAAAGCTGACTCTGATTTCCTCAAAAATGCGAGATCTACTTCATCAAATGGTGGAGTTCCGGGTAGTTTTCTGAAGAATTACGCGACATGCCTCACCCTTTTTGTTTATTTACTCTTCAATTATGTCCTGTGAAAATGCTCATGGCCAAATAATTGGAAAAAGTGCATTAGTCACTCAAATTCACAAGTAAGAAATCAAACGTTTTGTTCAAAATTATCGACCGAATTCGATTTTGCCAAATTGATCTCTTCTATTGAAAAAAAATTGTTTTCGACCTCCTATACCGAAAATCTTGGAATTTTTAAATCAAAGACAACACGATTTCAGATAAAACATTCATGCCGGTCTTTCAAATGTTACAAGTGAAGTTCCTCAGGGAAGTATACTGGGTCCTCTGCTGTTTCTTATTTTTATCGATGACGTTCTCTGTCTTCTCAGTTGTTATGTTTTTTTTGCTCCGAAAATGATGCAAAATTGGACCGGTAGATCTTATTTCCAGCAGAATATAGCATTATTTTGACGTCCTGAGTCTTTGGTCTCTGACTATACCAAACTTTGGTCTCTGACTCGTACCTGGATCAAAACATCGACAGGCCTACGCGAGTGACAAACCACAATGAACCATCACTACTAAATATACTAACTGACAAGACTCTTGAACCGTCAAACATTGATTACGTCTCCCCATTGGGCAAAGGCGATCATGCACTTATTTAGGTTAAATTCAAATTCCGCATGAGGGAACCGAAGTAAGATAAGATTGAACTACAACAGAGGAAAATAAGCGGAGCTTTGCTCCGAAATTCAATACAAGGTCAAATATGACGAGTCATTAACACAACTGGAAAATATTCAAGTCCAAACTTGGTGATGCAACGAAAAAACATGTTCCAAAAGTAAAAATCCAATTTAGGCAAAATAAACTACCAATGAACAACGAAGTCAGGCAAGCAATATTACAAAAAAAGTTTTTTTTAGAATAAAGAAAACTCAACGAAAAAACTCAACTTATTGAAAAAATTGGAATAGAGTTTTAAAAATGACACGGAATTGTACTCTTACACACGAGGAGAAACATCGAATAGTGTAAAAACCCAAAAAAATTTCTGGAACTTAGTTAAAAAGAAACTGAAGTCAACCGTGACGATACCTGCACTCAAGCTAGGAAAAAATGTATGTGCAAGAACTGATAAAGACAAGGCTGAGGCGCTATCAAACTTTTTTAAATCAGTTTTTACTATAGAAACGCCAGGAGACTGGACGTAGAAAATCAAGAAAAGCTAATATCAGATGAACTTTACCTCACTGGAGAGATAACTTTGAAAGAACATTTTGAACTACACATAACAAAATCAATGGGCCAGATAATCTGCACCCAAGGATTCTCTATGAAACTCAAATGCAATAGTCAAAACTTTGAGTTTAATATTTGAAAATTCATGGGAAGTTGGTGAAACTCCTGAGGATTACATCCATGCAAATGTCACGCGATACAAAAGAAGGACTCAAAGAACAATCCAAATAATAATAGACCTGTCAGCCTAACATCAATATGCTGTAATGTGCATTAGATAACACAAGCTCTGTTACCTTAGTATGAACGAAACGATATCGAATCAGCAATTTATATTTTTACCAGGCCGATCGACAACACTTCAGATGATAAGCGCACTGGATGACTGGACAGCAGTGTTAGACAAAGGCAATGAAGTCGATGTTATTCATATTGCCTTGCAAAAAGGTTTTGATAGTGTTATCCATAGAAGACTATTGAACATTATCTCCAGATATGGAGTCAGAGGCAAAACTCTGGTCTGGATAACGGCCTCCTGTTCAAAAGGAAACAGCGATTATTAATGAACGAAAATCATCAGACTGGGTCCCTGTCATCAGCGGGGTCCCTGAAGGATCGGTACTAGGACCAGTACTGTTTGAATAGTACTTCAACTCCATGACAGACGGAGTCACCTCAAATATGTTTTTTTTAATGATGATGGTGCAAAAATTTACAGACCAATTAGAACCAACGAAGAAAGAGCCAAACTGTAGATTGATCTGAAACGACTATCGACGAGGTCCAAAGGAAGTTAAATGAAATTAAACATATCAAAATGCCACAAATTAACATTATCAGGAAGAAGGAAGATGAAAGAAAGAAATTATACATTGGATGGCAAAAACTCCTTCAGCAATGTAGAAAACGAGAAAGAATTGGTGGTCAGCATTGAATCCAGATTACTTTTTCGAGAGCATTTTGTTCAGAAAACAAAGTTAGCTAATAATACGGTTGCAATTATCAAGACAAGATTTTTGAACTTAACGGAGGAAATCATGGCGATTCTCTACAAAACCTTGGTGAGACCGCATCTGGAATACGCCAATCAGTCGTTAAACCCATTCCTGAAAAAAGACAAACTAGCGATTTAAAATGTTCAGCGAAGGGCAACCCGAGTAATCCCAAGCGTATGCAATTTAGGATACCATGAAAGATTGAAAGTTTGAAGCTGCCTACCCTGGAGTACAGAAATTAACGTGGGCGTATGATAGAAGTGTACAAAATCTTGAACTGTGTTTATGATGTAACAGCAACTGAAAGAATGTTTACAATAAATGAAAGGAATTCTCGTGGAAATCCGTGCAAATTGATAACAACAAAGTCACGAACTTGTTTACGAAGTAGCTTCTTCTTTATAGTAGCCATAAACGACTGGAGCTGACTACCAGAGTCTGCAATTTCCAGCGTTCATATCAACTTGAACAAATCGAGGCTGGAGAAACACTGGGAAAAGGATATGTATGATACATCCTTTCTCGAATGACGAATTGGACGTCCACAGAAGGAGCTGATTGACATAGGCTGAGAAGCCTAGAGATCAGAAATTACCTGTGTAATTGTAGTTGCCAAAACGTTTGCGTTTTACTTCTTAAATATATTTTTTCTGCTATTGAAGTGATAAACTAAGGATAGTTTTGTAATTTTTGAACGTTTGCGCTGCTAAAAGTGTCATCAGAATAGAAAGAATAGTGCGTACATACAGTAGATCAGAAGATCGAAAAAAGTGTCGAACACTATAATAACCTAAAATACACGTTATGATATCTACTGATGACGTTCTCTGTCTTCCAAATTGTTATTGTTTTTCGCTTCGCAAATGATACAAAATTGTATCGGGAGATCTTGTTTTCAGCAGACTGCAACATTATTTCGACGTCCTGGGTCTTTGATCGGCTGCTAATGAGCTACGGTTCATAAAAATTTTATTTTCTGACAAGTTAATTAGAATTGAATTCGTGTTCACGGACTTTTAAAATAATTTATTCAGAGTTGATGTGGTAGAAAAAAACAGTAACTATGACTGGTCAAAATTTTTACAGAATGGAATGATGCTGAAATTAAGTGGCACTACTTATTTGAAGTTGAGCTGCAGCAAAATAAAGATTCTTTTTCATCAAAGAGGCAAATAAAATGTTCAAGTATAGCCGGAAACTTTCACTGCCACTAAATGAAGACGATTTGCCGTTTCCTCAGGCTGTCATTCAGCCTCGGACGCAGATGGTCAAATGTCTTCTCTCCTTGAAAGCAGCTTCGAAAGATAGTAACGGTGAAGATGAGGCTAGATGGGAAGAACGTTTTGCCTTGGCTCTCGTGAAAAATCTAAATTCGAGAAGTTTTGATGAGTTATTGAAAGCACTCGCATCACGGGGTACCCAACCAACGAAATGCGTTTTTATCAAAAGGTTAGTGACCAATGACAAATGTTTTCTACAAAAGCAGAACTAAGCGTGTTTTACTTTTGCTTCTGATTTTCAAAGTGAGAACTTTGTCTTCGGGTATTGATTTTTAAAAGTGGGTAAGAACTTTGTCTGCGGGTGTTTAGATTGTTTTTTTTTGTTTTCTCCACGCAAAATCAGGTACCACAAATTATCAACAGGAAGGCTCGTGGGATAAATCTTTGTCTAGTCATAGGTTCAACATGAAAAATCATGGCCATTTGTCCTTCAATAAGAAAGCATAATTCCTAAATCTTTTTCAATTGGTAGAAGATTGCTTTTGCCGACCATCGGCCTAATGTCGCCGGTAGACGCGCTTCACGGCAATAAACGGTTCTGATTTTCGTATAGAATCCTGCCCTCTGTAGAAAAGCTCGGAAATTAAGTCGTATTTCGAGCGAGTAAAGCGAACGAGGTACGTTTGTTAGATGAAAGTCGGTTCTTAAGAGCGAGAAAATGTTTTTTTTTCTGGAAAAAGTTTCATATAGCGTTTTCTTGTTGTTTTTGTATTCTTAATTTGACGACAACTGTAATCGATTATGATAAATTTCTAAGCTTCCATTTGTCTCTCATTATAAGGCACCTTCAAACGGCAAAGTTTGGAAAAAAAATCAGTTTTAATTCCCTAATATTTAATTCAATATTTAATCCAATATTTAATTCAATATTTCCCCAATATTTAATTCAATATTTTAGTCTCATATTTTTTGCTTTCATTATTTGGCCCTTTTCTACCACCCACATTTGATATTAAGTTTCAAAAAACAGTTTTTACATTGTCTTAATTAAATGAAATTTTGCATGGTTAACAAACTTCTTCTTACCTTATATCGTAGCATCACGCATTCAGCCATAATAACAGGTACAACAACTACGAAAATGGAATAGTTTAGATGCGAGTGAAAGTGGAAAAAAAGTGAATGTTTTTGGCTCAGTTTGTAACTGCTTGCTTCAGTCTGCTTTTAAACTTCAAATGTACAATCGAACTTGATGTAAACGGTAATTTTTTTTTATTTGCTCAACAAGGATGAATTTTGGTCGGGTTCCTCGTTTTGGTTAGTTCTTTTCCAGCTTCTTCTTTGTTCCTGCGAGCGCAAGTGTCTTATAATCGGGAACTAGGCTTTTTCACGCAAACCACTCTTCTTACAATAAATTGAACTCTATTATTGATTCGTAACAACTTGCACGTTATTTCCTACTTCGCCTGGATAACGCTGTTACTTGTGCAGACTAAGGTATGGGGTTTGAGTCACGGCAGGACCTTGTTTTTTTCAGTATCTATGAAATATAACTTTTTTTCCGTTTAAACTTGAATTCTTGGACTTTCGTTTGTAGGCTCAAGTTTTGTCGGCTTAGGTGCCGCATCACGTGTTTTCCTTATACAGTAAGCAAGTATCAAGGTATTTGCAAGCGTTTATCATTGTAGTTTCAATGGGGACTTGAAACATTTCAAAATTTAAAAAAAAATGGTTTGGTTCGTTTTCAACTGGCGTCTGCTCAAAGATTGTCGACTTCGTTTCCGCTTCGTAAGTTTAGTTCGGTTGCAAATTTGAATTTCAAACTTCTTGCTTGTTCTTGTTAATTTTGAATTCCTGTCTGTTATGAATGTGGTCGGTCCGAACTGTCTGTGCTAGTTGCCAAGCAACTGGCTACTCCTGTTAGTATATGTACTTAATTGAAAGACTATTCTTTTAAATTTGTCTAGGCTGGTATGGAGGTACATTTGCTGCTTTGTTGAAGTTCCCCAATTTTTAATTCATTGTTTTAGTCTAATATTTTTTTTCTTTCATTATTTGGCTCTTTTCTACCACCCACATTTGATATTAAGTTTCATAAAGCAGTTTTACATTGTCTTATTTAAATGAAATTTTGCATGGTTAACAAACTTCTTCTTACCTTATATCGTAGCATCACGCATTCAGCCCTAATAACAGGTAAAACTACTAAGAAAATGGAATGGTTTAGATACGAGGAAAGTGGAAAAAAGGTCAATGTTTTTGGCTCAGTTTGTAACTGCTTGCTTCAGTCTGTTTTTAAACTTCAAATGTACAATTGAACCTGATGTAAACGGTAATTTGTTTTTTTTCATTTGATGAATTTTGGTCGGGTTCCTCGTTTTGATTAGTTCTTTTCCAGCTTCTTCTTTATTCCTGCGAACGAAATTGCTTTGTTTGGTTTTCAACTGGCGTCTGCTCAAAGATTGTCGGCATCGTTTCCGCTTCCCAAGTTTTGTTCAGTTGTAAATTTAAATTTCAAACTTCTTGCTTGTTCGTGTTAATTTTGAATTTCTGTTTGATAAAAACAGGTATTATGGAAATTTATGGGATTAGGTTTTTTATCTTATTTGACGCTTTCGAAATCTTTTCACTTTTGGCCTAATTATGCCGATTTTCAAAAAAGGAATTGCAATAGAAAGACCGTTCATTCCCCTGTGTGTGCAAGCTTAATCCCCTAGTCTTTTTTAAATCCACTCTACAGCCTTCGAAAAATCTATGGGGGATGATTTTAACCACTTTTTTTCGTTTTCTGAAAAACTAATCTCGCAATTTTAGACCGTTCTGTAAATCTCTTCCCGAAAACTGAATTCACTAAGTATCAAACAGCTATCTCCAGCTTTAGCTATGCCCCTCGTTGTCTCTTATCGAGGCATTCAAATATTTTGGTTCACCTAGTTTTTTTCAGCATTCTTCATTTTTTTTCGACTTGATTTATTTTTTATATTGGCATTGTACCGCAAATGGTGCGAAGCTCTGCGTACACGCTTTTTATTTCGACGTATTTTTTTTTCACTGAAGTGAGTGTGTTGAACCTGAAAATAGTTAACATTTTTAAGCTAACGAGCATCTTACGGGGCTTTTCGGATAGGCGCACACAAAACCAAAACTTCACACGAGCTTTCATCTTTGAAATTAATCAGTAGATTTTGTCTTGTATTAGTTAAATTCAACCAATCAAATTCAAAAATTATAATTCAATTATCAAACTATTAAGAAGATTAATTTTGGGCCGTAGAAAAGAAATTATCTTGCTGCTAATTCTTTTATGAAAACTTTTTAAAATTGCCTTTTTTGATCTAGGCCCTCTATGGACGGCAGAATGCAAATAGGGGCCCGCAAAGTGGTGCCCCATGTAGCTGTTTTTAAATTGTGGCGCAACCCCAGTGTCAGACAAGCCACCCAACTCCTCGCATGTCATCCAGCAACGTCAGCTGGAGCCCAGACTCCTGCTACGAACAGTGGTGCTAGCGGTGGTTCGTCTTCGTCTGCATCATCTTCCACAGCATCATCATCTTACAATTATAAGAGCAATTCTCTGACCCACATGCAAGAGTACACGTGCATTAACCCATACCACTACCAGCTCACGTTTCCGCTAGAAATCACATCAAAAAAGCCAATAGTAGAGGACATATCGCGTATAAAAGAGAAAGGTGGGGAGCAGCGTGAACACGATGGAATTCACGTGAACGGATCTCTAACGAGTCAGAACTCAGTGGAGTTTTGTATGTCAGATGATGGTTAGTTTTTTCTATTCAATTTTAATTCTTATTAAACTAAGTTGAGTTTTGAGCTAGCTTGTCTTATAATCCTATCCACGTGGTTTTTTTATCGAAGTAAATGGTACCATCATGTCTCGTTCCTTTTTGTCTGCTTATCTGTTAGGTTTAAACAAGACTGTCCCGGTTTTTTCTTTCTCTTCAGCATGTGTTCCAATAGTTGTTTCTTTTTGTTGCTTCAATTGGTTTTTACTACTATTGTTCTTGTAAACATTGAGGGAATTTTAAGCCATTAAGAAAAAATTTATTCGGAATGGGATCGGATTTTGGCACATATTCAGTTGCGCGGCTCACTTTAATTTTAAAAAAGTCGGCGACTACTTTATGATTTAATTGTTGCTCGATGAAGCTTCACAAAATTGTCAGTTGGCGCGTAAGTAATTCATTTATAAATGGTACATAAAACTCAGGTGGTACTTAATGCGCTTAAAATTAGTTTTAAAATGTCACCTAATTTTCTCAGATTATATTCTGACGTTCATGAAACGAAGTTTACGAAATATTGCCATCAGTTTCAGTGTAAACTAAAAAAGGAGAATGGTTAGCATTTTGCAAATTTTTGTTCACGGAATGCTGAAATTAGTAGAATGGTGTGTTTTAAATAATAGAGTAAAAATTACAATAAATTGTTGTGTTTGGGCAGTGTACAGGTAACGCCTAGTCTTTGTCTAAGAGGCAAATAGTTCAAATTCTGGGCTACCTTTTTGGGAAAATACCCAGTTAGTTTTTTCGGCTAATTTTTTTAGCAAACGTTATCAAATTGGAAGATAGAATTTTTCCATATTAACAACTTATCTAACAGAATTGCTCGATATTCGAAATTTTATGTAATATTGGTTGTAAATTTACCCACTCGGGTTTGGTATAATTTGAGTTTTTCATTTTTTTTCTGTTTACTCGCCTTAAAAGGTTTTGGTTTATATTATATCGTCTTTGTGGCTTCTTATTGCGAGTGAGCAAAAAAGTTTGTTATGCGCGTGTGTGTTTTGAAGTGGGGCTTCATATTTTTTTGAGTTTTTTTGATTTTGTGAGTCGAATCGAAAATAAACTTCTTCTCTGACTCAACGTATTTATGCTCAAGTTTTTTCGGTTTTGTTGCCGTTTTGTTAGTTTTTTCCGGTGCTTATTTAACCTTGAATTTTTTTTTCGAAATCAGTTTAAATCAAGAATTTGAGACGAAGCCTGATTTTTTTTGGTTATTTTGGTTTTCACGCGATAGATTTTGTCTCATTTTCTGCCAGTTTTTGTGCCATGCTATCTTTGTTCTGTTTTGTAAAGAATGAGAAGCTCAGCTTTGCTTCTGAGTCAAATTTTGTAGTAAAAATGAAAACGAAATTCCACTTCAAGTTTCTGTCACGTTTTCTTGCCACTTACCAATATACAACCAAATATCTGTTGTGCGCATCAAGTTTCATCACAAGTTGAATGCAGTTTTTGACAATAGAAGTCTTGGGCATTACAAGTTTTTTCCTATTTTTGCTCCAAATTGATCCTTTCGCCTGGGTTATGTTCAGGAGGTTTTATAATCCCTAGATTTTCGAAAAGGGATTGCCGTATGTTTTGAAACCCATATCTTTGAAGTTTTCCCATGGACCTAATTTTATGCGAACGAATGTTAAAGTATAAACAGGTATTCTCCTATATTTTAGTCTGAAATATTCGGAGGTTTGTGTAAATGAACGAAGTCACATTAATATTGACATGTACGTGTATATAGGTCGTGTGGTGTTTGTTTTCAAGAAAAAGTCTTAAAATTTTATCACTCTGTATTTTGAACTTTCGCGGTTGGACTTTTGTGTCTGACGTTTAATTCAAGGTTTTTTTGCTAAATTGAAGGCAAATTTAGTTGTACAATAACGAAAGAACAAGTGGCGCAAAAAACTTGATTGATTGATTGTTGAAAAATGTTCAAAAAATTATCAGTAGACTTTTCGGCTTTCAAGAGTTCCTTGACTTTTTCCTTCTGTCTGTTAGCTTTGTTCCTTCTGCTGGAAGATTTGTGTTTTGTAGTATATTTGTCGCGGAATTTTTTTTCCCAAAGAAGTTATTGAAGAAATTCACTTCATTTTCTCAAGCCTGAAATAAATTTCGTGTTTGTGCTCTTGATCTGCCGAACAAACTTTAAAAGCTGTAATAGCAAGGTTTATTTGTTGTGATGTAATTCGTACTTTTTGTCTTTAACATGGCAATCTCTGATCATAAAAAAAAACGAAAGACTGATTAAATTTTCAGTAGTTGCTGCAATTCAAAGCGATTTTGTTTTTGTGAGTCGATGAGCGTGAGTGTTATATAGGTCGCGATGATTTTTCAGGAAAAGTGTTAAGATTTGTTCAGACTGAAATTTAATTTTTTGTGGTTTCACTGTTTCGTTTTCTTTTTAGTTTCAGTTTATTTCCTTTGTTAAAAGGACGGCAAACTCCACTATCGAACAGAAAAAGTGCACAGCTCACGAAAACGCCATCGACTTTTAGATTCGTTAGTGGAAGTTTAATTTTCAGATTTCGCAGCAAAGTAAAAATTTAGTTTATTGATCAAGTTTTCTGAATCTGAGTTTATTTGGGTGAATCCTAAATTGTTCTAGAAATTCAAAGAGCTTTCAGGACATCTAGTTTTTCTTTAGAACTCGAAAGTTGAGATTTTTTCAAAAAACAAGTCGGTGTTTTTTTTCTGATTACTTGCATTCATTGACTCTTGTCTTTTATAGTTTTTCCTTGTTACTTTAAAAAAAAATTTACCCTAGCGATAAGAAAGGGTATTGCAATAGGTTACTGGACTTTTTTTACCGTTAATACAGGACTCATCGACTCCTGGTGGTATTTTGTTCACAGGACTCATCGACTCCTGGTGGTACCTTGGTTCATAACGAATACAAATTTCTTACTGTCTCGTGCCCGCTTAGCCTGTAGGTTACGAATACGCTTAGGAAGGCAAAGGTCCTGGGATTGAATCTGACGAGTACCCATTTTTTTTTTTCAAACGGTAAAAAGTCCGGTTCAAAAAAAAAATTCGGCCTATTTTTTGTCTGCTTATATTTTGTCGGCTTAGTTGCCAGATCTAAGAATCAGATTTGTTTGCGCAAAATAGTTTCACTGTACTTGTCAATTGTCTTAGCATCTAAAAGTTCGGCCGAATCCAAATTTGCTTTGTGCATTGGTTGTTTTGTTACCATCTCGATTTGTTATTTTTTTTATTTTTCTTTTCCTTTTTTTGTCTTAATTGGTTTCGGCTGAGTTTATATCTACTAAGTGGACTCTTATTTCATTTTTTGATAAACGAGAAAAGTTTTTGTGTACGTGTGTGTTTTGAGGAGAAGGGGGACTCGAATTTTTTATTCAGAAGTTTTTGATTTTTTTTTGGGTTGAAGGGCTGCTGCTGGTTTTTTTTACCGCTTGATAAGTTTTGCTCCGATGCTAATTTTGCAGTCTGTTGTCTTGCTACGCTTTTTTCGAAACGATCTGCATTTAGTTTGATAGATTGGTTGTATGTATATTTATAGAACATCGAAAGTACTTTTTTGCTGATGATTTTGTGGCATTCGATTAAGCTCTCGGTTTAGTTTCCGAATTGTGCTTACCACCTTGGTTTTAGTACCTATATTGTTTTCGCGGATACTTTTTGGGCAGTATATGTATATTTTCCAAGAAGAATTTGCCATTAATTTTGGTTAATTTTCAGCTAATGGGCCTTCGGCTTTAATTCTGTCGGTTTATTTGCCTAATATTTTGTTTCCTAGAACTTTTCGATATTTTTCATGAGATAATTAAGACTTCGTCGCCAAAGTTAAATTTTTGAATGCTAAAATTCAACCCCAGTTGGATTTTTTTAAAAATTTTAAAAAATTTAAACAGAAAATTTTTTTTGTTTGTAGTTGTTTCTGCTACGCTTACAACTTTCGATTTCCTCTTTGATAGTTCTTGAGTGTCTTGCTTTTTTAATCCTATGCTTGTTGTATCGCAAGTGGTTCGAAGCTCAGCTTCGCCTCTGTGTTAAATTTGTCGTTGGATATTATTGTTTTCTGAACACATATTCACAAGCGGAGCGTGAGCGCGGTTTTCTGTTTTAGTACGAATTTATTTTATTCCTTTGTTTAAAAACAAATACAAATTGGGTCTGTGAATTGAAGACCAGATCGATCATATGAGCTATGTTCTGCTTTATACGAAATTCAGTATAAATAAATCGTAGTATGTAGGTTTACTAATTGAAAGTATATATAAAACGATGGTTGAGGAAAGTTAAGGCATTAAAATTCATTTAACTCACAAAAGACACTTTTGTTGATCGGGTTGTTTTTTTTGTCTTAAAATTTGATTTTTCGCAGTTTTGATTTGTAATTTTTCTTTTCAAGTTCAATTCAAATTCGTTTGCTAAAAAGACGGTAAATTAGTTTAGTTGTTCAGTTTTAAGATTTTTCAACGGAATGATTAAGTTTTCAGTGATCCAGTTTTCTCAAATTGGGTTAATTTTATCTAAAAATGCTATCGTAAAATTTTCTTTTTGTTCTGAGAGCTTATAAGGCCATATTTACTGAAAGTAGATATATATCGAAAAATAAGTCTTTTTCCGTGAAGTTTCTGTTCTGTTTCCATGAGTTCATTGACTCTTTTCCAACTGTTTAATGTCTATGTTTTCGATTTGATTTCGTTTGGGTTATCTCTTGTTTTTTCGAAACTAAGCTTTTTTATGGCCACAATTTGCTGATAGCAGGTAGACCTTAGTAGGCTTGTAATTAGCAAGCGTTATCAATCGGAATATAGACCTTTTTGGGTTAACAACTTGTATAACAGAATCAGTTGGTATCTTGGTTAATAATGAATTCAAATTTCGCAGCGTCTCCGGCACGCTGAACCTGTAGGCAACAAATGCGCCTGGGACGGCAAAAGTCTTGGATTCGAATCTGACCGGGACCTGCTTTTTTCTCATGGGAAATTATGAGTTGCAAACAAATTGTCGGTTTATTA